ACACACACACACACACACACACACATATATATATATATATATATATATATATATAAATCACATGTCTTTTGTTTCCCTGCAGAGGAAATTGTTCAAACTATCTGGACACAGAATTAGACTGTGTCTGAGAGGGTGCTGGGGGGGGAGCACATCAACAGAGCACACACACACACACACGCACACACCATATGCACACATAATGAAGTATCAGATAACAGCTACATGAATAAAATTCTTATATTTTGCCAAAGTTTGCTCATCGTAGAATCAACCAATGTTGTTGACGAAATTGATGCTTAAAATGCATAGAATATTGATGCCTCTAATAGTAAGAACAGGTGGAATTGAAACGTGAAAGGCCAGATGTTTAGTGAGCATAGGGCACCCTTCAGTGGACGAAAGAGGAATTGCCGTGTCGGATAAGAAATAAGTCATGTGGTTCTTTGTTGCATAAATGAGGTTAAACAAGTAAACATGACTGAACTTAATTTGTTTAATTGCCACGGCTGTAACAAAATACATTTTAATTTGTTGGTGGTTCCTTCTGCACCGCTTAAACCACTGTAGAATTATTCTAATGAGTCTTATGACCCGATTATTTTTACTGAATCAGAAACATAGCCTACAGCGGGACCAATGAAATCCAAATCACTAACAAATGACTCTTATGACGCGGTTCTTTTTTTTGTCAGTGGGAAAACATGTGCTGCGTTCGGAACCACATTCTAATATTAGCCTATCTATTTTACAAAATATTTTGAAGGCAGAAATATGCTATTGTGCTGTTCCGAATTCAGCAGGGCTGTCTGTCACTGACTGTAGTAGTCCGATCACACTATGAAATACTCTTTGGTCTTATTATGAGTGAATCAAACCAGGCCGACCAATGTAGCTAATTTCACCAACAAATATGACTCTTGAGCCGGTGCTTTTGAGTGAATTAAACACATATTTGACGAAAATGTCACCATAGCCGGTTCTTTTAATGAATTGTTCAATAAAGACGAGTTACGAATCAAGCTGATTTTGGAACCGCATAGGCCTACTCGCCTACTACGATTAGGCTACCATATATTTCTATGGCAGAAATAGTAAGAGCTATAGTTAAAACCCCTTAAGTGTCACGGGCCCACCGGTGGGCCCAAATCCATTACATTTTTAAAACAGTAATATCCTATACTAAACCTAAACTAATCTTGACAAACTATATATCATTTGAAAGCTTACAATCTCTATTTTCCATATTTGGTGATTGATTTTCAAAATAAATTACAGAGGAGCCGTAATTTATCAATTTGCAACAAGAATATTTTCATACTCCTAAGGCTTGTTTAGACCTTTATTTTGAAATAGTGATGAACATGAAAAATCATGAAGGAAGGGAAGAAACCTCAGTTTGTTTTCATGCCAAGAGTTCAAAAGATAGCATCCATTCAATTATTTTAAAAAAAAGGTCTGATTTTTTTTTTTTAAATATAAAGAAAAAAATGATAGATTCACCATTTGTGACGTGGCAGGAAGCTATAATGCACATGCGTGTTCTTTTTATGTGTTTCTTAAAGGTTGAATTCATATCAAAATCTGCCAAACTTCTCATATTACTTCTGAATAGGAGGTCTACTTCATAAATTGTATGAAAATTGTGGAAATAATGGTTCATATCACTTAAAACACAAATGGAAATGGAGTTACCATTATATGGGCAGTAATGGAGTCTGGTTGTCATCTAGTGAAAAAGTTTGGTACTGCATACAAACAAAATCTTACTGAAAGCTCATTTTTTGAGATATCAACCTAAAATTTTAAACTTGTTCAGATTTTTGGCTTTGATTTTTTTTTTTTTTGCAGTTTTAGAGTCGCCCAGGTTTTGAAAATATATATTTTATATAAAATAAGAATAATTAAATTTTTTACATTGTATATTTTCATAAACTCACACTTCTATAACTTTTTTTCTGTTTCACTTTCTCAATTTATTTCACTTCTACAACAATCTCCTAAATGTCTTCTTTAAAACAAGACTAATCTTCCGTCTATATTCCAAAGCATTCTTGAATTACAACCGTTTAAGTTCGAAATGTGCATTTTCATGTATATTCAAAAAAAGGGGGGTGACACTTGCATAGGCGGATTAACCATACGGGCAATTGACCAATTGCGGTAATATTTTTTCTCTTTTAAAACAAGGGGGTTTTAAAACAAACGGCTATTTCTTGCCCTTCATCAAAATGTTCTAAATGTCCTCAATGTTTTGTTGAATGTGTATTATTTTCATTATTTTGAACGTTTTTTTTTTGTTTTTTTTGACACGCGATCCAGATTCACACTCCTGCGTGAGCACGCCCGTTTCATTTCAACACCCATATACACACGGAGCAGAGCGAGTGTCTTCAATTCATTGCAATGGAAGTTGCTAAACTCAGCTAAACCTCGATATGAACTGAAAACGCTCGCTCTGCTCCGCGCTAGGCTAGTGGAAACGCACCATTCAGATTCTGGGAGTGCAGTGCTTTGCGGTTTCGTGTGTTTTGCGTCCTTTCCCACTAAACACTGGACGTCGGATAGACGCGCTGTGCAGATCATGTCTATATTGGGTCCGTCGGTCCATGACCAATTCTGGACATCTATTCGACGTCCAAACAACTATTTGGACGTCCAACCATGACCCAACTTGGACGTCATATTGACGTTCAACATTTGACAACTGGGTAATTTTTGGACCTCATTTGGACGTCTACGACAGTTGCAGGACATTTACATGATTAATATGCAATATTTTTTTATTTATAAATATCAACATTGGTGTTATCAAGACACATGAATACAGAATATTTATAATTATTTAGGATCATTTTCCAAAAACTCCATTTGATTGTCTCAGCAGCAGGTGATAACTGGAGACTAATACAGATGTGTCATGCTTTAGCTCAAACAGTAGAGCGTTGGCGCTTGCAACACCAAGATCATGGGTTCGATTGCCATCGATGTGCTAATTGCACTCGCTCAGCCGTTTGAGAATGAATCTCTTGTTTTAAAAGAGAAAAAATATTAGCGCAATTGGTCAATTGCCCATATGGTTAATCCGCCTATGCACTAGCTCTTCGATTCCCGCGGAAAGCAAGAACTGATAGGAATGTAAATGTGTAGTGCAATGTAAGTCACTTTGGATAAAAGCATCTGCCAAATGCATAAATGTATATACATGGTACAGAAAACATGTCCTCCACCCTTTTGAAACATGGGACTACAATTATAGAAGTTGTATAAAAACGACATCTAAAATTAGTCTAAATTTGATGTTGAAAAGATGTCCACAAATGACCACATTTGGACTAAATAGCCCTTACACGGAGGTCTCACGGACGTCAACATTAGACGTGCGGTAGACGTCGAAAAAAGACGTTGTCTGGCATTACAAAACAACCCCTTCAGTGGACAGTAATTGGACGTCCAAAAATTACATATAAGACGTCACTCCGACGTCACAGTGCTCAGTGGGTCAAAATGAAACTGCCTCGCGACGCGTCATGTGTAAATCCACTACAGAGCATCAGCCTTTCACTTTCACGTTGTAGGCTACTTTGCAAAAAAAGTTGCAGAAAGAGGCAGTGTAGCTAAAGTGAGTTTTTAAATTTTGTTTCCAGTTCAAAACCTCACAAAACCATACTGTAGCTATATGTTATTGCAAGACCAGTCTAAAACCTTGGCATTTGCATTTCATTTTTCAATTGTCTAGATTTATCTAAATTGATATCGTATCTTGAAGTGAAACAGATGTTTATTACATTATGCCCGTAACAGTTCACATGTTTAATGCGTTTAATAAAATGTTTAATGTTGCATACTTGCAGCAGGTTATCTATAACATTTGGGTTCACAAGTTATCATTTATCATTTATAGTAGCCTACATTGCAAAAAGTGCACCTGATTTTGTAAGAGTTTTTTCTACTTGAGCTAACATTGATGTAACATTCTGTTGTCAGATAAATTTATTAATATGAATTACTTTTAATATTAAATAATTTGTACGTTTTTCTACTGAAGGAATATTCATTGAATGGCCAGTGCAGTAGTGAAGGGTGAACTAGTCTCTCCTGCTGACAAAACTGAATTCAAACACTTTGTGGGTTTGTGTGCTTCTTGTTTGTTCATGCAATCATGATGAGCTTAGACAAGAAACTGAGTGATGATTAATGTGTTCTGTGCTTTTTGACCTTTCATATGCTGCCATAGCCTATCAGCTACTTTATACACAGAAAATGTCTGCAGGTAGTGGCTACACACCCCCTCACATGATAAAACGTGCCTATAGCTACTGAATTCAATTGAAGTGAAGCTGATTTGATCAAGACACATATCAGACCATATGACTCCCACTCAACAAAAGATTCCCACTGTTATTTAATCATGATAGCTACCTTTATTTTGTGATGCTGCTTGTGGTCATGTCCACTCTGTAATGGAAGATAGGGAAAAAATAATGTTACAATATCCAAATGTAGGCAACAGTAGGCTAGGGATCGTCAATCTCCACCTCGTATTTTCAGCCTACTGAAACAACGGGGATAGTTAGGCTATGCATAGCCTACTGCGAGTGAAAGTATACTCTGGTCATTTTAGTGTCAACTGTCATTTTCTAGACATCGCAGAGAGGCTAAATGTACGGATCCGTCAGAAGAGATCATATAAAATATAAATACATAGCCTAGGCTCAGAGCCGGATTATCCATAAGGGCACTTGGGCCAGCTAGTGCCCAGGGGCACCAACCATTCACAACCACTAACCACCTATAATAGGCTATATGTCATTGTATTGAAGACTAGTCCGACTCCTACTATTTATTAATCGGGTCATTCAGACGTTGCTTAGTAACTTTCCGAGAGCGTCTAGTCACGTAAACTAATTCATTTTCATAATCCAATTCTTGACCAGTAGACCTCCCAAGCCCCGCCTCCTATGCTAATGAGAATCCGCTGAAGGGTCTTGCTGAATGGGAGCGCGTTTGCATGTGTACAGCCGCTGTACAATAACACACACCCGCGGAGTATCTGACACATAGTGCGAGTTACTTTATTTGAAATGCAAAGCTGTTGAAGACGTTTTTCAGGATCATTGTGTGAACATCGCTGAAATGGGTGGGCAGGTTACCCGTACCGCTTTAGGTGAGTGACAATGAAATATATGCGTGTAGCCTAATTCATAATTCCATAATGATTTCGAGGTATCTTTGTGAACCGCTATCAAGAGCATCTTAATTATATTCCAAAATCTAAAGAAATATGGCTGCATTTTTCCAAATTATCTGAATGAAAATTTGTTATCTGCCTTACTGAGCTCTTTACCTTATTGTTAGCCTTCTTAAAAACGTGCTCTAAACAGAATACTTGTTGCTCAAACTCTTCTTATCAAACAAGTGACTTTATTCTCTTCCGTTTCTCCAACATATTTCAGATTTCTCCAACATATTTCAGATTTGTAGGCTACTACATGTCAATCAATAGGCTACCGATCAACAGTTTGTCTTTCAGGGAGCATTGTTTTATATGTAGGCCTATACAGTGTGTGTGTATGTATATATATAGGCTATATATATATATATATATATATATATATATATATATATATATATATATATATATATATATATATATATAGCCTATATATATATAAACTAATTATAATTATTATATAATTAACTCTAATCCAAACCTTAAAGAATACATTTTGATATTTTTAATAATAATTAAAAACATTATTCACAGTTTTGAGCAATTTATACTTTTGCCCCAAATGGACTATTTTGTTCCCTATATTCATCACACACATATTCATAGTTTTAGATATGTCTGTTGTATGTTTTGCTCATTCTTGCTGTAAACAAGAAAAGTATGCATAATAAACCATTTCAAGTTTATACCCATTTAGTAAACGAAGCTGACACTGAGTCAACCTGACGCTTAGGCCAGCTATTGCCTACAGCACTGAGAGAACGAGTCCACAAATATAATGGGATATGACATTATTATCAGGAGAAAATCCCTAACATCTCTTCGAACCAAGAGGAAAAATAAGGGATATTGGAATCTGTGATCAGTGAGTGATTACCCATGCAGCTATCAAAAAATTGTTCACATAATGTTTTGCTAACGTTCCCATTAAGTTATAAAAAATTGTGTTTCTGAATGTTCCTGAATGTTCAAAACGTGTAGTTATTTAAATTTTTCAAAAATGTTTTTTCTTGGTTATGCAAATGTTAATGGAACATTCCATTTCATCATTTTGCAAACATAATGGGAATGTTACTTTTGAATGTTCTCTGAACATTATGAAACTAGTAACATTTAAAAAAAACTTTAGACGAACATCCAACTAAATGTTTCAGGTAAAAAATAAAACGTTCCATGAACAATGTATAAATAATATTTTTGTGCTAACATTATAGAGACCACATACCTTTGAACAAATGTTTAATTAACGTTACTGGATGATTTGTTCATAACTTTGAGAGAACCACGGTGTTAGTTCTGAGAACGTTCCCTGTTATCTGGGTAGCTTGTTGGTTGTGTGGGGCAGTTTTTGTAAGGATCAACCAACCAACCAACCGTCCCCCAAAATATGGGGACGTTTAGTGTTACAGGATAGAAAATATCGTTAGATCAGTAAAACAGAATGTAGTTTTAAAATCCTCACCATGAAAACAAATATTGGTTTACAATTTGTCATGACATAGAGCTCAGACTCAGAATATTATTTATATTTATGTCCCACTTGGCTGTGTGTGTGTGTATGTCTTATGATTCCCTTATTAACACATACACAAAATACACTCACATACACCCGCAACTACATATCCTCATTTGCCCACACAGAGCTTATGTGTGGAAGTAGAAGTATGCAGAATCTGTCTCTCGCATGTGCAACTAAAAGCTAAAGACCCACACCCAGTGAAATGTCAACAGCAGTTAATTAAAGAGAAAAATATCTCTGTAACAAGACTGTGTCCTTGACTTAATGCTTCGGAGAGGCCTGGGAAAATATGAAAGGGAGTTGAGGAGCAAGTGTTTGATCACAAGCCAGTTTCGTCTGTGAGAATCAATGTGCATCGCATTTGGTACTTTTAATGGCTGTTTATGTTTTTATTTATTTATTGTCTCATCATCATGGAATTGTCTAAGATCTACTATCCCAAAATTGTTTATCTCTGCATTTTATCACTCAACTACAATACCAGACACTATACTATACACTATACACTATACCTTTATACCATACACAGCACTTTAAGATGCATTATTTTGATTGGCTGACTGACATTCTAAGCTGTTTATATATTTTTTTATTTTTTTATTTCAATAAATACACGGTATGGAGTAGTTCTAAAACTGATCGTAGTACAATTCTAAATCACAGCAAATTATTTTAGTTATTTAAAATAGCAATCCTGTATTTATTTGTTTATTTATTTATTTGTTTTTGTTTTTATTCAGTTCAGTAATTCTGGGTTGTACCGGACTACAGAAAAAATTATACTTTAGCAATGACAAAAAAATATTTTAGCAACATGTTTATATATTTACATATTTCACTAAAAGTTATGTTTATATATATATATTTAGCAGCAATAGCTGGTAATTATACCGTTATAATGTAACTCAGTAGACAACTATATTCTGATAAACACTTTTAGTTGAAAACGATGACATTCTTTACTGGTGACTTGACTTGCCTAATTTTTAACACTTACAAACTGCTTCCATTCTCAAACATTACAATTGTGACAAAACCTCAGATTAGCCAGCTGTAACTTTGCCCTGGTAAAATGTTTAAATAATGAGAGTTCATGACAACAATGTTCAGTAAACTAAAGCTTGCAAGGCATAAAATCAAATGTATGATCAAAGAATGAAGTAGTCTGATGTTGAGTTGAGATGTCTTTCCAATGTGTAAGTATTTGTGTGTGTGGAGACATAACCTCATTTTTGGCAGCCTGAATAGCAGAAACCTGCGTTCTTTCTCTCTCTCTATCTCTGTGTCTCTTTTGTTGTCTCTCTTGATAAAGATTTTCATTCAGAGATGGTAGCCACTGTGATCTCTAAACACAGCATAAAGCTCTTAAGTAATAACAGTAGCTAGTCAGAATTTACATTGTTGTGAGTGCCTATATAGGCAATAGCCTACATGTTTGGAAGCAATTTAACTCTTTTTTTGTCCATCTCTCAGATGGTGAAACACTTCACTGCCACCCCTTGAAGGCAAGGATATACCCACAGATGCCAGCCCTCCTGCCGCTCTCTTTCCATGCCAACACTAAAGGCTCTCAGATCATGATGGACAAGACACAGCGCAGCGTGCGCCGAATTGCCAGCTTCTGCAATGCCATCACCTTCACCAACCGGCCAATCAGAATCTACGAGCAGGTCAGGCTAAAGGTATGATAACCTAACTCTCACCCGTTTCCACATTCCATCCTGTGTGGTCCCAAAATAGCCCTCACATATCCCTCCTTCATATCACTCCATCTCAAACTTTCCCGACGAAGGGAAAACAGAAAGATAATGCTAGAAATGCTAACATGTGAGGTTGTGCCGTTATCTTGTTCTGGTAAATGTGGTTGTTTGGGAATGAAAAAACAAGAATCCGTTTCTGATAAATGCTTCTGCTGGTCTCTTTTTATAGCATCACACAATAACTTTTTTGTAAATATTGTTTTAAAAATGTGTAATTTTAGCTAACTTCCTCGCTTTCTCTGACTTTTGGCCTCTTCTTTTAGATCACAAAGAGACAGGGATGTTGGAGTGGTGCCCTGCGAGTGGGTTTCAGTACGGTGGACCCGTCAGACTTGTGTTCAACGTGGCTGCCACGGTTCGCCTGCCCAGATCTGGTCAGCGAGAGGGGATTTTGGGCCCGAGCACTTCCTGAGGAACAATGTGAAGAAGGAAACATTCTTTCCTTCTGGTTGGATAACACAGGACGAGTGTTTTACCGGGTTAATGGCGGCTGTCCGATCTTCTTCTTCAGCGGTGTCCCTGCCGGAGAGCCAGTTTGGGCGGTCATTGACATTTACGGGCTGACACGTGGAGTACAGCTACTTGGTGAGTTCACATTGCTCTTATATGAAATATCAAGTTTCAAGAATTTATAATGTCCCGTCAAGTTCTTAACCAAGAAGTCATCAAACTGCCTGAAGCTGGTTTGTCTGACATCTCTGTGAAATAACTCTCTACGCAGATCAGATGATGTGCCATTCAGAGTTTCCTCCAAGTGGAATTGCTGAGCTCCAGGTCGGCGTGTAATGTGGGCCAGTATCTGAGCTGCGCTTCACTGAGCTCGTGCTGATCGCTTGATGAGTTGTAAAGTTCACAGAGGCTAGTTTGTTTTCGCTGTGCCGAGCACATTTAAACAATTTACATTCACAACATTTAAAAATAGAATCCTAGATTTATACACTCTTATCCTAATTACAAAAACTGCCCAATGGAAAAAAGATTGGAGAGATTGGAATGTTGCCTAGCAACACTTTCGCTTCAAAAATAAAAAACGTATGCTGGGGAATAAAACAAAAAGTGAGAGTGAGAAAAAACTATTAGTGTTGAGCAAAATCAATGAAAGTCAAAGTTATTCCATTCATAATTCTGTTTTATTGAGATTTTGTGGAAACAAAGTCATGTTTAATTAAGCCAATTAAGCATTCAGTGAGACTGCATGCAGATTCAGAATACAGTTGTTTTTGTTGTTTGGTATTATTAATCAGCAAATTTTTAAAGGTAAAATACATTTTTTAGGTAATTTCTTCACCTAAAAAACTGATTGGCAGTTGTAAAAGTTTAAAGGTTAACAGTGTTTGGAAAGTGACTTTATTATATGTTAAAGTAGTTAAACTACTGTTAAACTACCATTTTGCAAAATTAGTTTTCTTTTAGTTATAATAGAATACCACCAATGCACAAAATTTACACTAAATATTATCTTGCTTCATAAAATCTGACATTATTTTGTGTATCGCTACCAAAAGACGACATAAAAATAGAGGTTGATTTACACTACCATTTAAAAGTTTAGGGTCAGTAAGGTTTTTATATTTATTTATTTGTTTATTTGCTCACCAAGGCTGCATGTATTTGATTAGTAACAGTAATGTTGTGAAATAATATTACAATGTAAAATAAACTGTTTTCTATTTCTATATTGTTTTGAAAAGATCTGAGCTACTGTCACAGTACAAAAAATAAACTTAATTTAGTAGCAATTTTTCTTTTAGTTAGTCACTCCCCTACGCTGGTTTTGACAATTTAAGTTGAAAAGGTCTCTCTCTCTCTCTCTCTCTCTCTCTCTCTCTCTCTCTCTCTCTCTCTCTCTCTCTCTCTGTGTGTGTGTGTGTGTGTGTGTGTGTGTGTGTGTTGATGCAGGGGTCAGTATTGGTGTAACATCAGTTAACCAGCTAGACTATTTTAACATTCATTATATAACCCGATCTGAACTTTAAAAACGTATTGGACACATGCAAATAAACACAAACATCAAGCCATATTTTGCTTCTGTTATCCAGCTAGCAACATCCTCTATGTATATTCAAGCTAATTTTCAGTTGCACTTTGCCTCTGTATAAATAGACAGACATAGTTGGTTTATAGATGAACCATCCTCAAGCAATCCTCACACACTGTGCTCTCTCACATTACCTCTGCCGCTTCCAAAATGTGTTTATTGTCAGATGGCCAGATGCTGTGACTAAAATCACCTCCTGTTCTTTCTAATGCACACATCTGGCATTTTGTCAAAGTGTTTCAATTCTAGATGGAAGGTCCCTTTTACTGTAGGTCATCACATATTACCTACAAGTAAATTTCATCCTGTGTAGGGATATAGGATTTTAATTGTTAAATATGACAGAAAACATTTAAAATATTGAAAGAGAACCAATGCACGTGCCTCCTTCCTTTTGATCTTCCGTTTCATGACCCCAGTGTCACTGAAGCTTCCATCTCTCAATAATTCCTGTTCAGACTAGTCAGCGTCAGCTGAAGGCACTTCAGTGGATGGCAGCGACGTCAAGCCCGGAAACTAAAAACAACCCAGAGAGGAATATCTACTGTGTCTGAGGACGTTTCTGCTGATGCGACTGCTGTGAAAGTTATAGCAGACCAGTAATTTCCATCACTGAAGCTCTGGTGTTCTCATCAGCGGCTGTCCAGCGTGGATGGCCAATGGCAAAGTTCTTACTGACTGAGGTCAAAATGAAAAACCACCCAGTGCAATTATACTGATGTTGCTGATTACAGGTTACATGAGTAATAGAGTTTTACAATATATGAAGAAAATATGAATTGTGCTTACCATTGCAAAACTTACAGCCACAGTGCGGTGTTGTCGTGGATGGTCATTATTATTATTTTCAATGTTGAAAATATTTGTGCTGCTCAATATTTTAGTGGAAACCATGATACCTTCTTTTCCAGGATTCTTTGATTAATAGAAAGTTCAAAACAACCGTTTACCTGAAAAGGAATTTGTGTAGCAATGTAAAAGTCACTTTTGATCAATTTAATGCATTCTTGCTTATTAAAAGTATCAATTTCTTTTGTAAAAAAAGAAATATCTTAATACCAAGTTCTGGCATGACAGATGGTGTAGGCTGACAGGTCCTTAACTCATTTGGTAGCGTTTTCAGGAACCCTTCACCTTCCCCAGCTCCACCTGTATAGATCTGCTTCAGGGGTTATTTCATGTGTGTTACATGTGCAGCAGCAGCATGTCTGTGAATGTATTGGCAGTAGCAAGTCTCTGTATACTTGCTCTGCAGCAGCGTAGCAGATCTATTTCGCAAAGACCAAATACATTACCATTGCCATATCCATTACTATTGCCATGCCAATACCTCCGAAAGTTGTCACGACAGAACTGCCGTTAAATTTTTGAACGGTAGTGAAAAATGTAACAATAGGGGAAACTAGAATTGAATTGTGGTTGCTAGGGTTTTCTGGTTGGTTGCTAGGTCGTTGCTTATTGGCACAGGGGGTGGGCTCTTGTACAGTAAGTGCAATCACTTAGTAAAATAATAGCATGATTCTGATTTTAAATGCAGTGTGTGTTTGTTTTTCCAGACAGCAAGATTGTGCCAGCTGAATATCTTTGCCCTGCTTTGACTCATGAAGGGATGGATGACTGGCATCTGTCAAGCAACTGCTCTGAGCTTGACCTCCAGGACGGTCTGCCATCCTTCTCAAGCTCTCCAAATGCCCTCAACTCAGTTCTGTCACGTCAGCTGAACGATGACTTGCATTTTCACTGTGTCCATGGCAACGGTCTGCGTCTGCTGACAGAACACATAGCAGTGCGTTATTATAACAGACGTGAGGATTGTGCTCTGGTGTTCACGCATCGACCGTTGCGCTGTGGAGAGTGTGTGTTCCTAAAGGTCTCGTTGAGGTCATCTGCCCTGAATGGATTTTTGTCTTACGGATTCACTTCCTGTAACCCGGCCCATATTAACCCAAAGCACCTGCCGGTCAATCCAGACGACCTGCTGGACCGCAAAGAATTTTGGGCTTTTAGCTGCCTGACTTCACCACTTGTGGGCGGGGATATCATCGGTTTCCGGGCAACTGCAGAAGGGGAGGTGCTTGTGAGTCATAATGGAGGGAGAGCCTGTAGAGAGATATGTGTGGATAATTCCACTCCTCTGTGGATGATCTTCGATTTACACACTCACATCAAGCAAATCAGTATACTGGGTAAAAAAAGAAAGAAAATGCTCTGACATAATGTGAAAATGCTTGTTTGGTTTTAACTTTATAATAGATTTTTTATTATAATATAATATAATAATTATTTTTGTACCGAACAGCAGTCGTGCATATGTTTGACTTTTTTATTATTTAATATTATTAAATGCATTTTTATTATATATATATAATTTTATTTAAAAAAAATTATAAATAATAATAGTTTTTGTTTTGTTTTTTCTAGGCACGTCCTTTGGTTACATTGCATCCAGTTCAGAAACACAGAGGTCCATCTTTAGTGATGCCAGTCACACCTCAGCCAATCAGAGACACAGAACAGTCATGGGCTTTACTGACATCTTTCAGCTCCGCCCACAGAGCCTCAGCAGTTCTGCAGGTGTGTTCCTGTCTCTCATTGTTATTCTTTTGTTGATTTACCAAATTCTTTAATGTATTACTCATTGCGGTTTTCTATGTGGTTGTTGTGGTCACCAGGGACAACATTCAGTTCACTGTCCTCAGAATCTCCAAATACCCCATCATGCTATGCGAATACTGGTGAGGAGTGTTTGATTTGCTGTGAGAGGGCAGTGGACTCAGTGCTGTACGCGTGCGGACACATGTGTGTGTGCTCAGTGTGTGGTGGCAAGCTGACGGAGATGTCAAACCCGTGTTGTCCCATGTGTCGCAGCCCAATCAGAGACATCATCAAAATTTACCGCAGCATGTAACCTGGCAACAAACAGGATCCCAGTACCTGGATGGTTCTGAAGAGGCCCTTAACAGGTCATTGTCCTGTTCCAAAAGGATTTCCCATTCCCACATGTCCATTTTAAAGGCTGCTTGTTTGAGCTCTGCAAGGGAGAGGCACTAAATGGCTGCTTAAAACGACTAACCAAAAATGCAGAGAAAACCCAGAAGTGACTGTGCATATGCGAATGGCACAATATTAATACATGACATTAATACAATCTCAGATTCTATAAATCATAAATCTTATGGCTAAATGTGCACAATGGAAAGTCAAGGTACTATGAGACTAATTCTGATTTTCAGTTTGATAATGTCCTAGTAACTTCATACAAAACTTTTCACATATTTTTGTCAATGTTTGTTCCCCCACCAACTATTCACATTTATCAGGAAATAAATATTTGTTTGACCTGTATACTTTAAATCAATCCAGGGTCCGAATCTATGTGGATTGTGGATTTGATCTGTTGCTAATTCTTTTCTTTTTTTTTTCTGCAAAACATTAAACTGAAAAACTAGAAATGTTTTTACATACCAAAGTGGACATTCACAATATTGTAAGTGCCAATAACTTTTATCTATGTGAAATAAAACTATTATAATGATATCCAACAACAGAGCTTGTTGTTTATTGTTACTGTGAATATATAAGTATAATTACAGATCTTGTTTTTTTTTAAAGGTTTTTATTATGTGCAATTGTGTTTTTATTTTAAGCATTTGTATTCTGTATACACGCTTGTTTACCTAGTTTTTGTGAAAAATGCCGTGATTGACGACTTACTGACTTATTTATATATTAATGCACAGACACAAACACACAGAGACCATCAAGCTATTGTGATTAAGATGGAAAACAGCACTTGGACATTTATTATAAGACCCGGTATGAAAATGAAGTGATTTAATAGGAATTAATAGCACCATGTTTAATTACACAAACAAAGAGACATTTACAGATAGATAGATAGACAGACAGACAGACAGACATTCTGAAAGTGCATATAGTCTGTAAACAGACCTTGATATATTTATTTAGTAAAACAAAAAAAACAAAGATAAATTTTAAAAGAAGCCTTCTGCAGCACATCAAGACTAGCTAACTAAATAACTAAAATAACAATAACTAAAAGCCTGTTCAGTGACAATAACATCACATCATCCAGCAGAAGCGGGAGTATAAGTGTCAAAGGGACTTGCTCTGTTTGTGTTTCCTTTGATTTTGTGAACAGAGACGGCCAAGTCTCATATGAAATAAAAAGAAAACACGTTTTGATTGGGGTCACGGTCAAGATAGAGTGTTTAAAATGAATGCTGTTTGGTAATGGGAAATCATTTATTCTGGTATCCTTTTTTGTTTCTGATGGCAGAATCAAAGAACACTAGCTCCTCCTCTCCAGGAAGTTGGAGGGCACCCATCCCTTGCGTGTTTTAGCCGTGTCGAGCACACGGCAGAACCACCATCCATTAGGGTTTCTCTCCAGGACCTCCAGCCTCGTACCTGCAGGGAAGCTCATGGTCTCTGCATCACCGTAGTAATCGGCAATAGAAACGTACTCCTCGCGCAGGTTGTTGTGGATCAGATGAGGTTTAGGCTTCACCATTGACACCGGTACCTTACGCCTCATGCTCTCGGTATTACCAACACAGGAAGAGGACGTTTGGTCATTGTAGCTATGTAGTGCGGTATGATTAGTCACCATGTCGTTCCTCCATCCTGTGGGAGTTGTGTGCATATTAGTGTTGTCCTTAAGGACGTTCTGAGGTCTGACGGCGAGCTGTTTCACGCCAACCCTGCAGTTCTGCTGGTTAGATCTGTGTCCGCCCTTCAGGCTTTGGTTAACACGCTGCTCGTTCTTCTCCAAACTTACACATTTACCCATCTTTCCAACATCTACCTGCACTGAAATCTCCAACTCAGGAGCTGCACACCAAGACGTCTCAGAATTAACCTTCTCGGTGGTTTTGGCTTCTATACCACTTGTTTCTGTGCTTTTGATTGGCTGTAGATAGTAAGTGGGTGCCCATCCCTCTTCGTTCCCCCAGCGGACGAACCACCAGCCGCTCTCCTGCTTCTCCAGCACCTCCACCGGCACTCCCGCAGGAAAGCTGAGCTCACACGGCTCTTCTCGTTGGTACGCTGCAGTAGTGCGGTACAGGAGTGAAGATGGATCTGAGAATCTCATCTGGAAATCATCCCATGAGCCATTTTCTGACTCCTCAGATGTGCAGGAGGTCCTGAACTGCGTCCGGCCTGGTTGCTCCAGGTTTCGGGGGCTTCTGAGGGAACTACAGTCTTGGTTTGCGGGTTTCGGGCGCACGGATGGTTTGCATTTAGACTCATCAGCCTGCTGTTTGAGGTAAGGTTGCTTTGAGTGTGCGTAGAGTGTCGTATTGGTGTCAATGCCATGCTCGATTGTAGGGGCGTCATATTCCGGTGGATCCCACATAGATGCCCGATGGGCCGCAGAGGGCGAGTATATGTCAGAGTAACTGTCCTTACACTGTGGCACAGATCTGAAGCCACCGTTCGCATATATACCCTCATCATCCTCTTCATCCCCCTCGCCCAATGTGAAGGAAACGATGCGCTGACACAGAGGAGGAGGGGCTTTAGTCGGTGCGTCTCCTCTGAGAAACTCCAGCTCAGGGTCAAATTCAAGGCCCACTGCTGGAACATCATATTCTGGTTCCTCATACACTGGTGGACTTGCTAGGCTCACATCCTCAGACTCAACACATGGAAGCGAGTTCTGCTTTTTGATTGGCGGAGCAGGAGGTGGGACCTTGGGGCGGGTCAATGTACTGGTTTGGCGGTTCAAGGTGGGCTTCTTGCGTTTGTCAATGTAAGAACAAGGGGCCCAACCCTCCTTCTCTCCAATCTGGACATACCACCAGCCTCCAGAGTTCTTCTCAATGACCTGTAAACATACACAGCCTTTAGGTCTTCCATAGAGATACTTATACAGTATGTAGTGTTATTTGCAGCTAATAGGGAACATTGGGCTCAGTTGTCACACTTTTGACACTAGTGAATATTGTCGCTTTTTCACTGATATAGAATTAAAAAAAAATTAAACTATAAAAAAAGGCATTTTCAAAAACATCACTACTGTTTAAAAGTTTGGTGTCTGTAAGATTTTTTTTAAATATTTTTGACAAAAGTTTTTGTTTTTGAAAGAACTTTTATTATGCTCACCAAGGCTGCATTTATTTTGCGATATTGAGACATATTTTTATGATTTTTAATTAGGGCTGTCAAACGATTAATCGCGATTAATCGCATCCAAAATAAAAGTTTGTGTTTACATAATATATGTGTGTGTACTGTGTATAATTATTTTTAATACATAAATACCCACACATGCATGTGTATTTAAGAAATATTTGCATGTATATACTGTAAATAGACTGAATGTAGCCTATATATAATGTATATTTTATATAAATATAAACATTTTATATATAAATAACATATTTTTCTTAAATATATACATGTGTGCATTTATATACAAAATAATTATACACAGCACACACACATATATTATGTAAACACAAACTTTTATTTTGGATGCGATTAATCGTGATTAATCGTTTGACAGCCCTAGTCTTAATATATTTTAATGTGATATCAATGTCAACAATTACATTTTCAGCATCAATACTCCAGTCTTCAGTGTCAAATCATACTAATATGCTGATACATTTCTTATTATCAATGCTGTTTTTGCTGCTTAATATCTTCATGGAAACTGGTAAATTTATTTTAGGATTCTTTAATATTAAAAAAAAGTTCAAAAGAACAGCATTTACAGTATTTGAAATCAAAATCCTTTGTGACAATATAAATGTCTTTACTGTCACTTTTGATTAATTTAATGCATCCTTTTTTTAATATATATTTTTTTTCTTTCAAAATAAACGTAGCCTACTGACCTCAAATCTTTGAATGGTAGAGTATTATTCTCCAAAACCCCTAAACTGTAAATTAAAAATAATTCCATGTAGGCTACTGAACAGTGTCGTACGTCAGCTTTCTGTCCTCCGTTGAAACTGATCCCATCTGTCAAGCAGGACCGGAACTCAGCGATGGTGTAATACTCGGCTTCAACAGTAGGGGGATCTGGGGGCTGCGGTAACTGAAATCCCTGAACGAGACGAGAAGAATATGCTGTTCAGCATAATACAAACCACAAAATGACCTATTTGTGTGTGTTGTGTGCAATGGAGAGAAAGAGGAAAAGAAACATAGAGAAAGGGAAAATGAGAGAGACATACTGACCAGGCTGTTTTCTCGACGGGGAGGTGGTTTTTGATTGTTTGATGGGGATCCTGGATTCAAAGGGAAAACAAATCAAAACACAAAATGTGTTTACTATCTTTAACACATTACACGGAAGAACAACATTATAAACAATTAAAAGAGGTAGAGAGGAAAAGAGCGAGATAAATATAAAGAGAAAGGAAATAAAAGAAAAAAATGACAAAAAAAGGGAAAGAAAAAAAATGAATGAAAGAAAGAAAGAATCTCACTGGTCTCAACGCTGTGGAATCTCTGAGGTGCGACTCGAGCAATGGCAGGAGATGGAGGGACAGTTTTGGTCTTTAGGGCGGATGGTGTTGATAACACATTTGCTTCAGAAACAGACGCAGAAACACAAGCATCTGGCACTGACACAGACACACTGCTATCTGAGACAGACAGATGCACACTCGAGTCAGTGTGCAGGTTGACCTGATCATCCGAGTCTCTCTCTGAGCTACTCCTGCCCATGTTAGCAGCTGTGCTAATGCTGCTGTTTCTGTCAGTGTGTGTATTGTTACTGTAAGCATCAGTCTGCTCTGCATCGCCGTTGTACTGTGTATATGTGTCAGTCTGCGAGTGCATGTATGTGTTTGCTGAATGTATTAGTGTGTTGTTGTTAAGGTGTGCATTGGTGTCAGATTGTGTATGCGAGTGCCGTTCGTTAACGGGTTTCTTGTTCAGGAGGTTGCTGATCTCCATAAGGTTTCCGATGATTTCCACCTGACCATGCACAGCTGGTTTATTTGTCTCTGTTGCCTGGTTACCAGCCACGGCACCATCTTGCATTTTCCTCAGGTAAGCAGCTGGGGCCCATCCCTCCTTACCACCATAACTGAGAGGGAAACCATAGAAAGAGAGAGATAATGCACATGCCCCCAAAAAAACAAGTACAGTTCAGAAGTTTGGGGTCAGAAGTAAAGATTTTTTAGACTATTTTTAATTATTAAATTTAATTATTCCTTCTATTTAGCAAAGATTAAATGGAACTTTATATTCAAGAATGAGTCCTGAAAAAAAAATGCCTCATGGTTTCCACAAAAATATTAGGCAGCACAACTATTTCAACACAGTTACGTTCACTCTACAAGCCTTAGTGCTCAGATCTGATTTTTTTGTATAGCTGTCTACATTGTTGTTTTAAATGTGGCCAATATCAGATTCCAGTGTGAACAGATCATGGTCTGACCTGGACTGTCCCAAATGCGCAACAAAAAAAAACGATAAATAGATGTCACGCAGGACACTGTTATACAGAAGTAAACATGAAGGACATTAAAGTTAGTGATTACACATTTATTTATAGTGTGATCTATCGTGGAAGCCAGTGAATTTATGTGCAGGCAATAATAAAAACAAAGACGAGGATCCGAAAAAGAGTTTTTAACTCTGTAAAACTTGCTGATACCTTTCCCAACTGTCTTGATAACTTCAGGAGTGTAAAATCTTTGAAGTGACTCCCATGAGGGCGAATTGTGATGATGAATGATGCTCTAGTCTAGAGAGTGACGTAAAAGTCGCATGAATTCCAATATGACTGTTCAGACTGAGGTCGCATTGCAAAACATCTGACCTAAATCGGATTTAGTGCCACATATGGAAGTGGCGCAAATCAGAATTTAAAATATCAGATTCCGTTCACAGTGTCATGAGAAAAACAGATCTGAGTCACATGTGAGCAAAAAAATCAAATTCGGGCCACTTTTACCTGCAGTCTAAATGTAGCTTTAGAATGATTTCTGAAGGATCATGTGACACTGAAGACTGGAGAAATGGATCCTGAACATCCAGCTTTACCATCAAATAAATTACTTTAAATAATGTAAATAAATTGTCATAAAAATTTCATTTTTAAAAATATAACAACCTAGCATAATATAACAATACTGCCTAATATTTCCGATCTTCCATTGACTATAGTATGAATCAAAGAGGCAAGAAGGTCAAAAAAGAGAGTTAACCCTCTGGGGACCAAGGTGTTTTTGGGGTCCTTGAGATGTTTTGACATGCCCTGACATTTGTGCTTTTTTCAGTTGCTTATAAACATATTAATGGCACAGGTGAAATTACACTCTATTTAGCGCAAACAGGGCAACCATAATATGTGAGCAACATGTATGTACATGTTTGTATTTTTGAGAGAATATTGTTTATGCATGGTTATTGAAAAAACTAAAAATTAAAGTTTCTGAAATAAAGCCACAAAACACATACTAAATATGTGTCTACAAGACTTTTGACTAATGGAAGTTGTGGCCTAGAGTTTTTGCTTCAAAATGATCTGAAAATCATCCTGTCTAATCATTCACATAACACAATAGATTCTTTTAAATTGTGAAAAACATTTTTTGTTAGCCAAGGCAATATGCGAATGGGCGTGAACGGCCCAACCCCCTTGTGAATAATTAGGTGGTTGAGAAGACAGACCCGCATATTAATGAGCCTTTCATTCAGGTGTGTCACACAAGAAAGAATGCAAGGACAATACACACACACACACACACACACACATACATACATACATACATAAATATATACACTCACCGGCCACTTTATTAGGTACCCCATGCTAGTAACGGGTTGGACCCCCTTTTGCCTTCAGAACTGCCTCAATTCTTCGTGGCATAGATTCAACAAGGTGCTGGAAGCATTCCTCAGGGAGTTTGGTCCATATTGACATGATGGCATCACACAGTTGCCGCAGATTTGTCGGCTGCACATCCATGATGCGAATCTCCCGTTCCACCACATCCCAAAGATGCTCTATTGGGTTGAGATCTGGTGACTGTGGAGGCCATTTTAGTACAGTGAACTCATTGTCATGTTCAAGAAACCAATTTGAAATGATTAGAGCTTTGTGACATGGTGGAAGTAGCCATCAGAGGATGGGTACATGGTGGCCATAAAGGGATGGACATGGTCAGAAACAATGCTCAGGTAGGCCGTGGCATTTAAACGATGCCCAATTGGCACTAAGGGGCCTAAAGTGTGCCAGGAAAACATCCCCCACACCATTACACCACCACCAGCAGCCTGCACAGTGGTAACAAGGCATGATGGTTCCATGTTCTCATTCTGTTTACGCCAAATTCTGACTCTAACATCTGAATGTCTCAACAGAAATCGAGACTCATCAGACCAGGCAACATTTTTCCAGTCTTCAACTGTTCAATTTTGGTGAGCTCTTGCAAATTGTAGCCTCTTTTTCCTATTTGTAGTGGAGATGAGTGGTACCCGGTGGAGTCTTCTGCTGTTGTAGCCCATCCGCCTCAAGGTTGTGCGTGTTGTGGCTTCACAAATGCTTTGCTGCATACCTCGGTTGTAATAAAGTGGCCGGTGAGTGTATATACACACTGCAAAGTTTTGTGTATATACTGTATATATTTATATATATATATATATATAATCAAAATATAAATGAAAGTCAAAAGCACATTTTTAGTCATACCTGGAAACAAATCCTGTTCAAAAAGGTTATATGGGCCATTCTACAGAATTGGTTCAACGTTAGAGTTGGAAACATCTTGAAAAGAAAATTGTCTTTTTCCATAAATGTCTTAGTAGGCCATTTCATCATACATATTTCAAAGTTAAGGATTCATTATTTTGATATAGCTTGCATTGGAACAAACACTATTCTTAGTTGATTAGTTTATTGACAAAACATACTATATATTTAACATATGAGCAGAAACTGCTAACAAAAGCTTATTTGATGTCTATTTTAGAGTTAAAACTTTATAATCTATCCAAAACTAGTCACACACACACACACACACACACACACACACAGAAACATGATTCAAATTTAAACAGTAGGCTATTTTTGCGTTTACAGACACTAACGTTATTATATATCGGGATTAGAACAAAGCACAAGAATAAAACACTTACAGTTCAGCTCGCTCCTCGAAGTGAAAATAAACCAGCACTTGTTCTGAGGTAGGTAAATGCCCCAGGATTATTCATCACAGCCGCGCAAGACGGCAGTACATTAATCTGACAAAATATAGTGTTTACCGAGTTTATGTGGGCGTTTACACGTCTCAATGTGTTGCTTCAGATCATTAGCGTTTGAATAGCGCGCACTCTCCGTGGGCGTGTCACATTAGCGGAATAATGAGATGCGAGAACGATAATGAGAACGGCTGACACCTCTCTCTTTTTATATAGATTACATAAACAGAGAATATTTATTTTAGTTTTAAATTAGATAATTTAAATGTACAAACTTAAATGATCATAAACATATATTGCTCATGTCTGGGTGAATAGTATTCGCTGAGTTTTGTTTAAGTTTAGAGACGTGCTCCAGAAAAAAAGTTCACGGACACGGAGAAGCAGAACGCACACCCTGTTTCTTTTCTTTATTTTACAAAAGCACAATATTTTATTTCGATTGTAGGTGGGCACATAAAAAAGTAGACATTTAACAGTTTATTTTTTAATATGTCTTAACTCTGTATGACCAGAAATTATGGAGTAGTTTAAGTCTATTTTTCTGCTATGTGAAAAAAATCTGCCAAAACGCACCGGTGCGTTTGCCGTTCCCAGAGGGTTAAGAAATAAATCCTATTACGAGAGAATTAAGTGAGTGTTTTTCCAGTTGTTTACATTGCTGACTGCTCACCTAGCAAATTTTATAATCACATGTACTGTTTCTGCAAAAACCCCATAAATGCAGAGTAAATTCCAGCAAAAGAAACCAAAGCATATTAAAGTAGCTCAAAGAGAAGAATAAACATGTGGAAGAAGAGTTTACCGTATGAACCACCAGCCCTCCAGATTCCTCTGGATGACCTCAACAATGACGCCACTCTCAAAGCCCAGCTCATCCTGACTCGAACTGCTGAAGGACTGAACTGTAATATACCACTCTGCTACGAACAAAAGAGGAAAGAGAGCACATTGTATACTGTCCTGCAACTGGATACACACATAGACAACCGAATGCAATGCTTAGACTTACAGGGGAGAAAAAAGCGTAGAATAAATAAATACATTTTAAATCTGTGTGGGTGTCTTGCACGTGTACTCATACTCTCAGGTGTATGCTTTGGTTCTGTTTAGTTTCAGTGAGTTTAGTTTGGTTCTCCCTGTGCCCGTTTGCCTGTGTTCTTGATCCTTGTTTTTTTTCTATAGTTACTGATTACCTTCATCTGTTGTTCCTTGCGTTACCTCATTACTCCCTGCGTATTTAACACCTTAATTTTCTTAGTTCTTGATTCTGTGTTGTATTTGAATTGTGGTTGTGTTTTTCCTGAGATTTGTCATTAAAGGTGCAATGTGTAACATTTTTGAGTATCTATTAACAGAAATGCAATATGACATCCATAACTATGTGTTCAGTGGTGTATAAAGAACTTACTTAATAAACCGTAATGTTTTTATTACCTTAGAATGAGGCATTTATATCTACATAGGTGCGGGAATCCCCTTCTATGAAGGTCGCCATATTGTGACGTCATGTTTCTACAGTAGCCGAACGCGAACAAACAGCGCTACAGACCGCGTTTCGTCACTACCTTGAAAGAGAAGCCGCAGGAAGCTAGAAGAAGCTAGTCATAAACACAGTGAGTAGTGAATTTTCCCTTGTCAGTGGTGTAAATATGTAGTTGGATTGTTTCATGTAACTTAATTCTTCTCGCGCGCGCTGCTACAATCACGTCATTTTTGCCGCACGCACCTTTGGGCTCATGCGGACGGGTCGAGTTTAAACAAGGCTTAACGCTTTAACCAGCTCAGCCACAGTAACAGCTCATATTAGCCAGCTAAACTTTTACTACCCCGTTAGAAAAAATATATAGTTGCATAGTTTCATGTGGTTCTTCTCCCTCGCTGTATTATGGGTTTGCTATGTGGGGAGAATGTGCTGGTTACGTTCGTGAGACAATCAGCTGATTACTATTATTATCTTATGTATTAAGACCCTTGATCCTCACCTGAAACTTTATCCATGATGTGGTTTATAATGGACTGTGGTAGAAACTTGGTTTACTCTGGCTATTCTCTGCTGTCTCAGACGACGATGGTTGTCCCGTTTTAGCCACCATAGCTTCTTCGAAAGGGAGGGGTGAGCGGTGGGCTGAGCCCTTAGTGTAAACTCACAACCGAACCGCTAGATGTCGCTAAAAATCACACACTGCACCTTTAAAGACTGTGCTAACTACTACAGCCACATGTTACACATACAGTACCCTCAAAATTATTCGACACAGTCGCATTTCATCAGGGCTTTTAACACTTAACATAGTTAACTCTTGGTCATTCTAAAACCCAGATCGAGTTCACACTTACATAATTAAAGGGAGTAAAGTTTAATGCGTATTTGGCCGGGGGGAACCCCCCGGGGTGGTGAAGGGATGCTGCTAAACTGTCAACGAATTGAGGTGAGACTGCTGAATATATATACACCTCTTATCGTTGACTGCTGAGTGCTTTCCACTCGTGTTAATTATCTGAACGTGCTCCTCCCGAAATTTGTTAATAAAACATCCTATCTTGCTTCGCATTTCACACCGCTCATAATTTACCCGGGGTTACAATTAATCCTGGATATTCATAAAATGATGTTTCACATTGTACATCCCTAAACCCTGGGTTAATGTTCTTATCTGCATTTTTGCAGTGCAGTTCCCTATCGGTCAGTCACTACAACGTAGGTCAGACTGACCAATAGGAATCTCGCTAGAGAGGCCAATCTACTTCGAGTGAAACTAAAACAAGCCAATGCACATTGGCATGCAATCATTTGCATCAGCTGCGCGTCCTCGTCAGCGCGGGTATTTAACAGCAGCTGTTATGATTGCACGCTAGCTTTTTGCTTCGGAGCCAAACGCTTCATGTTTAATCCTACAGAGTGTGACTACGAGCCTCTTCTTTGGACCTCTCCTTCCCGGTGCGGGCGTTACAGCACGGCAGCGCGAACAGTCGTCTTTTTCTCTCTCCTGTCTGTGGTATTGAGCAAAACCAAAAAGCTGTTGTAACAGCTGGTAAGGTGCGCCGTACGAGCGCTCAAAAGCTGTTTTCACAGCTGGTAAGACAGCGAGAGAGAGAGAGAGAGATCGCGCACAGACAGGTGCACATTCCTGTCTGTGTTCGCAGTGACTGTTCCCCTGCGTGTTTCAGCACCAGTGAGAGCAGTCCCTAAAAGAGCTTACACAAATAGAGAGCGTCTTTTAAAAAGAAAAAGATGACTTTCTATTTGTGTGTTTCTGGATGCGGTCGTTACCTGGGCTCACAGGATGGTCACAAACGCTGCCTCGTGTGTCTGGGCATTGAACACGCTGAGGCAGCGTTTGTGGATGAGTCATGTACCCATTGTGGGAAGATGACCATCGCGGAGCTACGGTCGAGACTCCTGTTCCTGCAAAGGGGCGGAGTCCCCGTGCCTCTGCCTCGTTCCAATCCTCTTCAGAGGGTTGCTTCGGGCGGGGGCGCGGGTGACCTGAGGATCACGGTGAGCGCGTCTCCTTCGGGGAACCAACCCCCTAGGAGCCCTCACCCCTCTCATGCTCCGCAGCCAGTTGAGCTTCCATTGGAGAAAGCTGGACCATCCTCGAGGTGTGTACCGGTTGTCTCCTTTGGGGCTCCCAGTGACCAGATGTCGATCGCTGCATCGGAGGGTGGGTCAGACTTCTCTGCGGACGACGCCTCGGCACCGCTGCCTCCTTCGGGGGTGCCAGCGGTGCCTGAGACGGACCCGGAGATGATGGCCATGCTCTCCCGGGCCGCCAACGGGGTCGGGCTCGTGTGGAATCCTCCACCGTGTCCCGAACCCTCGAGGTTGGATGATTGGTATCTCGGGGTGGCGCGCGCTGGTTCTCAGCAACCCACCCCAGTGCCTTTCTTCCCGGAAGTGCATGAGGAGCTTACGGGAACGTGGACGGCACCTTTTACTGCCAGAAACCGTTCCGGTGGCTCCTCCTCCCTCACCACCCTTGATGGCGGGGCAGCTAAGGGATACACGCGCATCCCGCCAGTGGAACGGGCCGTTGCTATGCAGCTGTGCCCTAACTCCACTTGGCGTGGAGAACCGTGTCTCCCTTCCCGGGCCTGTAAGTACTCGTCGGATTTAACCGGCAAGGCTTACAAGGCCTGTGGGGAAGCTGCCTCTGCCATGCACGCCATGGCGTTGCTGCAGGTCCATCAGGCCAAGGCACTGAAGGACCTGCACGAGGGTGGTCATGATCCCCAAGTTCTTCAGGAACTTCGCATCGCGACGGACCTCGCGCTTCGTGCGACGAAGGTGACCGCGCGGTCGGTGGGTCGTGCGATGTCCACCATGGTGGTCCAGGAACGCCATCTCTGGCTGTGTCTGGCTGACATGAGGGAGTCTGACAAACTCCGGTTTCTCAACTCCCCTGTGTCCCAGACCGGCCTCTTCGGCGACGCGGTCGAGAACTTCGCCCAGCAGTTCTCGGCTGTACAAAAGCAGACGGAGGCCATCAAACACATCCTGCCGCGGCGGCCAGCTGCTGCCTCCACCCCGCCGCCCGCGGCACCTCAGTCTGCTCGTCGCCGAGGGCGTCCGCCTGCGTCTGCCCCTGCTCCCGTGCCGCAGCAGCAGCCTCCACCTAAGCGGCGCCGTGGAGCCAGTCGCAGGCAGGGCGCCCCGCCCGTCCAGGCCCCCGCCAAGAGGGGCGGCAAAGCCAGGGGTAAGCGGCCCTAGGACGGGCGACCCGGAGATGGAAGGGACTGCTCTCCAGGAGACGATGACTGCATCGCTCCCTCCCCCGGAAGAGGGCCGGGTGGGAAATCCTGTGTTTCGTTTTGTTTGTGTTCCGCCGCTGGCCTTAAAACCAGCGGTACCCAAAATTTCAATAAAAGAGCAGTTTCTACCATCTCTGGGTCCGAAGAGGACCCGGAGAGCAGTGGGGGGACAGAATCCTCACCACTCTCATCCGCCTCCTCTGTCGCCAGTGAGCAGCAGTGTGCAGTTCGAGAACGCCACCGAGCCGCCTCCTGCACCTCCTGCCCCGTGGAACCAGGTAAGTGCTGCACAGCACACACAGACCCTGCTACGGGCCGCCTCCCAGAGAGAGCCTCCCGAGCCGCGTCCCTGTATTCCACCTCGCTGCCCCACTCCGGGTACGCCTACAGTCCCTTTGGTCCCGCTTGCACGGTCTCTGAGAGCCTGGTTAGCGCTCCCCAGTCCGTCTCGCTGGCTCATTCGGACCATCAGGCTCGGCTATGCGATTCAGTTCGCCCGGCGTCCCCCCAAGTTTCGGGCCATCCACTCCACTACAGTGAGAGCAGCCGATGCCCATGTCTTGCGTGCGGAGATCGCAGTCCTACTGGCGAAGGACGCGATAGAGCCGGTCCCTCCAGCCGATATGAGGTCAGGGCACTACAGTCCCTACTTCATTGTACCCAAGAAAGGTGGTGGGTTACGACCGATCTTGGATCTGCGAGTTTTGAATCGGAGCCTCCACAAGCTACCGTTCAAAATGCTCACGCAGAGACGCATTTTCGGATGCATCCGTCCCCAAGATTGGTTTGCAGCGATCGACCTGAAGGACGCGTACTTTCATGTCTCGATTCTTCCTCGACACAGGCCGTTTCTGCGCTTTGCGTTCGAGGGTCGAGCATATCAGTACAAGGTCCTGCCCTTCGGGCTGTCCCTGTCTCCCCGTGTCTTCACGAAAGTCACGGAGGGGGCCCTTGTTCCCATGAGAGAACAGGGCGTTCGCCTCCTCAACTATCTCGACGACTGGCTTATACTAGCACACTCTCGAGATCAGTTATGCGAACACAGGGACCTCGTGCTCACGCACCTCAGCCAGTTGGGCCTTCAGGTCAACTGGGAAAAGAGCAAACTCGCCCCTGTGCAGAGGATCTCTTTTCTCGGTATGGAGTTGGATTCGGTCGCACAGACAGC